CCTGGACTTCCCGGAGGCGACCCACGTGGTCCTCTACCACGATCATCTTCGTGCGAAAATCCAATCTCAGTGTTGGGAGCGTCGCTCTTGTCGTCTCCTTCTCCGCCCTGTCCTGCATTGCCCGACGACTTAGTCGCCGTCATTCCCTTCGGACCGTCTCCATAGGTTGGGCGGAGACTGGCGAGAGCGTTCTCCTCGTTAAGTCCAGTTAGCCGCATCCCTGCAGGGGGTCCATTCACAGCGGTGCTCGGCTTAGCCGGACCTTCTAGGGCAGGGCCTGGGACCGAATAGTGTTGACGCAACAGCGGCCTCACGGGGGTCTCTTGCGAAAGCAACGGAAATCCGAACGAATTCGATGTAAGTCCGGCTTCACGTTTAGTTTCAGTATACGGAGTCGGGTCGGTGATGATAGCCTTAAGCCTCATCTTTCCTTTCTCTACATTAGCCGCGTTCGAAGCAATCTCTTCTTCTCGCATGTTAGCCGCTGACCTTTCGCTCTTCCACGGGTCGCATCTAGAGCATCTCCTCGTCATCGCATCGATATGTTCGCCACGCGCCGAGCTGCCACATCCGACGCAATTGTCTGTCTTTAGACGAAAACAAACTGCACAAAACTGATCCACGGGAAGCGCGTTTCCTTTTCCACCGGGAAGAGGACGTGTTGCACCTCCTACCAGCATGGTCGATGCTCCCGCGTTTGCCAAGGTCGCCTGACCGAATTGCGCAGGGGCGGATACAATACAATGCTCGACGACCGAACCGTCGACAGCTGGCGGGCATTTAGCATTGCTCGACATTGCGCGCTGGAGGGGCGATCTAGCTTCTTCATGCGATTAAAGCCCTTCCAGATAGAGATTGCTCTGGTTGGTTATCTTCGCAGCTACGGCTTGGGTGTTGACTGCTTCCAGCCTGGCAGTCTTGATCTCTTCTTGTAAGCCCTGTTTTCCCGTTCTGCCACGATTGTCGCGATGTGTTCTCCTTCTGCCCTGGCCACCGCGACGGCAGCGGCAACCGCGTTGGCGTCAGCAGATTCTTTGTTTGCCATCATTGCAGCCTGTCTCTCCGAAGTCGATAGTTATCTGTATTTATTTTCGGCTTCCCTCTCCACTTGCAATTCAACGGCCTCGGTCTGATTGTGCATATGTTCTATCAGCGCCTGTTCACGCTCTCTAGCTGCCATGGCTAGGGCGATGCGCTCAGCCTCGAACGTTTTTCTAGCTTCGTTTGCAGTTTCAGTTAATTCTTCTCTGTCCAATCGAGCTCTTTCGGCCAGTTGCGCTTCATTGGTCAGAAAGTCTCTCTGAGTGTTGGCCTCCGCCAGCCTGGCCTGGCCCTGCATAGACTGTATGAGAAGATATGTGCAATTCTGCTCGTCCATTGGGTAACACTCCGCGCACAGCCATTGCATGTTACACTTGTTGCAAACGTCCGAGCAATTCTTGCACACTGGGTTCCTACATGCGCCTTCTGGCCTGTTGGCTTTCCCTGGGCATCTGCTCCCCGCCTGAGGCGCGCAGTCAGGGTTGGGGTTCCAACATGCCCCCATCATAGAAACCGTAATATTGCTCCTTGAAGTAGATCTCGCCCCTGATCTTGGTATCTTGGGTCTTCCCCTGCTTGAAGCATTTGATATGGAGCGAACGAAGGTATTGTCTGGTGGTTTGGGCGCATTTACGAATTCCTCATCCTTTTCGTCTCGTGTTATTAGCTGAGCATATGTAGCTAGTTGTCCGACCGTTTCTTCATCCTCAACAACAGCGGGAATAGTGGGTTGCCACTCGCCTGAGGTGGCGGCATTACGGAAGAAACCTTCCTTCAGCGGTGAGACATTTAGCTCGTAGTGCTCATTCCGTTGTTTCTCAAGGTTAGGCGCAGGGGTTCGTCCTGTGGATTCCCTCTCGCGCTTCATCTGAGCCTCCGTCCTGTTCGCCTGAGGCGTCAGGATACCCATCGGGAGACCATCTTCCGTCTTGAGCAAGGATGTCTGCTTCCATCATCACGGAAAACGCTCGGCTCTGGGAAATATCATTATTGATACTATCAGAAACTTCCTCCATGGAATATATTGCATGATCTTTGTCTATTGGATCATCACTGTCTTGACCGAATTGTCCGTTGAGTGCTATCGGGAGTAGGGCATTGTTACTCGCGCCCACCCACTCGGTCGGGATATCAGGAAACGTATCCATATTCCCTCGGACTTCCCCTGGCCGGCCGGCTTCGCCAGCGGCAATGGCAGTGGCGTGTGGAGTATTCTGAATTGAGCTTATCGGCTCCGTCGATTTGGCACTCCAGGACGAGAATGCACCTCGCCTGGGTCTTGATGCGGCGCCATCTCGCCCGTGCGGGTCCGGGGTTTGCTCACGATCACCTATCGGAGCTCATTCGGGGGATGCGTCAGCCGACATGTCGGTTATTTCCTCGATACTTCTTCCCCTCACGACCCGAGCGGCGATATGTGAAGGAGGGATCTGGTCCTGAATAGGACCGTCTCTGTTTGCGTCGTGTCCATCATGTTGTACAACGCGCTCATCGGCGCTCCTCGAGATATTGGACACGATATTAGTCGTATCATAGCTCTCTCCCGCAGCGACTGAGTCGCGGGGCACGACTGGAAGATCTTCTTTTGTATCTAGTGTCCACGCGTCGACTGAGTCGCGCGTTTCGGCTGATAACCAGTCTTTCCTCTGAGAATCGGGGTAAGATGACAAAGGGATTAAATGAATTAAGATCTCATGTTCACTCTGCTCAGGGAGAGCGGAGGCGGGATGAGACATTGATCAGACAAGTATCCGTTAAGCAAGACTACTTTATCAGGAATGTGAAGGGAGGAGGTCGGCCGAGGACGGACGACGACGAGCCGCCCGCGCACCCCAGCGCGCTCCTTTTTTCTCTCCTGCCAGCCGAGGTCGGCTGGCTCGAGCAGCCGTATGGCTGCGGAAACGCAGCTTCAGTTCGCGCGGACAGTGCAATGCATGCAAACTAAGTTAAGTTCTAATTGCATATGAGGCGGAGAGAAGCATACTTACTCCTTCAGCAGCTCAACTGAATCGACAACGCCACTGTCCCAGAGGCAGCTCTATCATTCCCCTTTTGGTGGCAAGCAGTTCAAAGTGAACTGCATGCGTCCGTCTTCTCTGTATTTGTGGTTGTGGCTGTACTCATTTCATTGGGTCTCACGTACGGAGACCTGCTCAACACAAGTGTTTGTGTCGAGGCGGTACCTTGGTAGCAGACGCTAGGTCGCACCGCTCTTGGTTTGGGCTACATGTCTGGTTATCCCAGATGGCCGCCCAACACGCCAGCATGATGCCGCAGCCGCAGCCGACGCCTGGAGGATTGCAGTCGCTGTCTCTCTGCCCCATAGCCTTTCCCGTCGTTCGTGGAGACCTGCGCGTGATTCGCGGGTAGTTCGGCGAATTGGGCCAGTTCGGAGGTAGTGAAGGTAAGTGGAGTTCCCCTTCCCTTGTCTGACGCTTTTGTGCGGAGAGCTCCAGGTTCGGCGGGCCATGATTTTTCCGTATCCGCAGGCGTCCTGGGTCTGGACCGTTGGTATGGCACGCTCACTTAACATAACTGCAGTGTAGCTCCCGCGCAGAGAAGACGAGGTCGCCAGAGGTACAGACATAGCAGCATCCTTTGTGGCAGAGAGATCCTCATCATCATCAGCAGCAGCATCATCCTCATCACCATCATCCTCATCAGCATCAACAACATCAGCATCACCATCATCATCATGATCGGCATCGTCATCGTCATTATCACCACCACCACCATCATCATCATCATCATCAGCATCATCATCATCATAATCAGCATCATCGTCATAAGCAGCATCATCATTATCACCATCGTCAGCATAATCCTCATCATAATCCTCATCCTGATCCACATCCTGATCATCATCACCATCATCAACAACAACATCAACAGCATCAGCATCATCATCAACATCAGCATCACCATCAGCATCAGCATAAGCGACATCGCCATCATCTTCATCATCATCATCATCATCATCATCATCGTCATATCATATCATCATCATCGTCACCATCAACATCACCGTCACCATCACCATCCCCACCACCATCACCATCAACAGCACTATCTGCATCAGCGTCACCATCATGAGGAGCAGCATCATTACCATCGTCACCATCACCATAACCATCACAATAACCACCAACAGCATCATCATCGATTCTAGCATCATCAGCAGCAACATACACATCATCATATTCATCAGCATCAGCATCATCGTCATCATCAGCAGCATCATTATCATCATCTCCTTCGTCTTCATCATCAACGGCAGCAGCAGCATCATCACCATAATCAGAATCAGCATCATCATCATCATCAAAATCAGCCTCATCCTCATCATCATCATCATCATCAGCATCATCAGCAACATCATCATTGGGTCAATATCATCGTCATGAGCATCAGCATCAGCACCATCGCCATCATAGATAAGCACCATCGCCAACAACAACATCATCAGCCTCACCTTCCACCCCATCATCATTCGCCACCAACCATCACCATCAACCATCAATTATCAACCATCAATCACATAGCATCATTAGCATCATCAGCATGATCATCAGCAGCAGCACCATAATCATCATCACCACCACCATCATCATCAGCATCAGCATCATCGTCAACTTCATTGTCGTCGTCATCGTCATGATCATCATCATCGTCATCACCACCATCATCATCAAAGGCAGCAGCATCATCAGCAGCAGCATCATCAGCATCATCAGCCAAATATCATCAGCAGCAGCATCATCAGTATCCGCACCAGCACCACCATCATCATCACCACCATCGTCATCACCATCACCATCATCATTATCACCACCACCGTCACCATCACCATCCCCATCACCATCATCACCATCATCACCACCGCAACCACCACCACCACATCATCAATCGCTACCAACCATCAACCATTGTCACCCTGCGCTTCTCCGCGGCACCGGCTGGGGCGCCGCCTGGCTCGCGCCCGCCCAGTCCTCGTCCCCGCCGAGCGGCGCGGCGTACCCTGCCTCCTGCCGGTGCCAGGGGGGCCGCGCAGTGAGGGGAAACGACGGCCTGAAGGCGCCAACCATACACTCACAACAGATCCTGGCCAGGCCAATGCTGGGCAAGGATCGGTGCATACTCCCTCCTGGCCCTCCTCCTCCTCCCTCCTCCTCCCTCCTCATCCTCCTCCTCCTCCTCCTCCTCCTCCTCCTCCTCCTCCTCCTCTTCCTCCTCCTCCTCCTCCTCCTCCTCCTCCTCCTCCTCCTCCTCCGGCTCCGGCCAGAGAAGCATCTACCCAGACATCCGACGTCTGACTCTTGTTCACACCGCGGGCCTCCTTCCCCGGGCGCCCGCTCTTCATCCTGATCCGTTGTTTTGATAGTCCCGCAGCCCCAGAGGCCGCCTCGGGCCCACCCCTCGGAGGCCCACCTGGGAGATCCAACTCGTGCTGTTCTCGATCTGCTGCTGCACCTCGAGCCCAGGGCCTGCTGGATGGAGCCTCGGAGCGTCCGCAGCGTCCCTCTCCCGAAGATTCGGCCGCCGCGCGCCCGCTTCCGCGAGCTGCAGCGGCCCTGGACTCTCGCCGTCCTGGACGCGCACGTGCCTATCGCACGAGAACGGTACCCATGCACCGTACTATATCGTAGCTCCCTCCAGGCCCAGCTCCAACGCGGCACGGTGCATAGTAACTCGGCGTCCAGGGGCAGAGAAACTATGCACCGCACCATTCCTGGGCCGAGGATCGACGAGGCCTCGGGAGACGCCACAGCGGTACGGTGCACACACAAGTCGTCCGCGGATATCGGCCACCCCCGCCCCCCAGGACCTGCGGGCCTCCCTCGGGAGGCAACTCCTGGGAAGTCTTCGCCATGGGAGCGATTAAGGGCGATCGAGCCCGATGAGAGGGCCACTTCACAGGATCTGGCCAAATCAAGCCCAGGATTCAGCCAAATTAAGCCGCAGGATCAAGCCAGACCAAGCCGGACACACCCCGAGGAAGCCGGCTATCGACCGCGAAGATACCAGCGACGAGACAGAGTTTGACCCCCGAGGAGTTGCATCCCAGCGGAGGAGGAGGAGGAGGAGGAGGAGGAGGAGGAGGAGGAGGAGGAGGTGGAGAAGAAAGAGTAGGAGGAGGAGGAGGAGGAGGAGGAGGAGGAGGAGGAGGAACATCCGCAGGCCCCTGGCAAGCTCCCAGCTCCCCGGGCCGCCCGCCCCCGCCGAAGGGCCGCCCGTCTCCTCGAGGAAGCCGGGCTGCGGGAAGCCCATGGGCCTCGCGGCCGCGCCCCGAGCCCAGACCCCCGACGTCGTGAGTTTGTCATCACGTCGACCCCCAGGGCGCTCGACCCCTTCCCTGGGACCGGTGTCTTGTCCCGAATCGTTTTTTGTCGACGGCTCCGAGGCCCGGGAAGGGCCGCTGGAGGCCGAACGGAGCGAAAAGCCCTGCGTGTCCTGAGTTTTGTCCGGGCAACCCCAGGGGGCCTGGGTGGCAAGCGGGGGGAGGGGGCAGAGAGCGGGGCTGGGCGAAGGGCTCGGGGGGGGGCTCCCCCTGTGGACGCCGAACATGCCAGCTGCAGAGGTGCACTGCGCACAGTTCTCACTCCCGTCAGTGAGGAACCCGAGACCCTTTCTGGCCCAGCACTCAAGGATGACAACCCGAGGGGGTCTGCGTGGGAAGGGGGGGGCAAGGGGCAGAGGGCGGGGCTGGGCGAAGGGGGGCTCGGGGGGGGGGGAGCCCAGCAGCCCCGCAGCAGGCGGCGGGCCCCCCGCGGCGGCGGGCCGCGCCCTCGCCGCCCGCGTCGGCGTCTGCCGCGTGGGCGGGGCGGGCGAAGGGGGGGGAGGGGGGGGCGCCCGCCCGGCAGCCGGCGGGGCTCTGCATGGGCCCTGCGCGCCAGGAGCAAAAGCGGAGGTCATCGGCCTTGGAGGGAGGGATCAGGAGGAGGAGGAGGAGGAGGAGCAGGAGGAGGAGGAGCAGGAGGAGGAGGAGGAGGAGGAGGAGGAGGAGGGGGAGGGGAGGGGGAGGGGGAGGGGGAGGGAGGGGGAGGGGAGGGGAGGGGGGGGGTAGGGGAGGAGGGCGGGCGAGGGGAGAGAGGGGGGGCGACCCAGAGCCCCTCGGGTCAAGACAAAATCACGACGATTGGTGGGTTTTTGGTTATTTTCGGCCTCCTGGGGCCCTCACCGGGCCTCGGGAGCATCAAAAAATGCGTCAGGATGAGAAACCGGTCCCAGGGAATGGGTCGAGAACTCTGGGGGTCGAAGTAATGAAAAAAACATGACGTCGGGGGTCTGGGTAGGAGGGCACCAACTATACACCAACACCGATCTTGGCCAGGATCACCCTGGGCCAAGGATCGGTGAAGACATATACACCGATCTTGGGCCCAGGATTGACCTGGCCAGGATCGGTGTAGGTGCATAGCTGGTGCCCTCCAAAGGGGGGAGAGGGGAGCGGGGGGGGACGAGGGAGGACGAGGATGGGCGAGAGGTCCACGTTCACCTCCGCATCCTCCCATCCTCCTCGGGCATCCTTGCTCAGCATCACATGGACTACTCCAGGGCCCCAGGGCACCTGGCCAGCAGATAGCAACCACATCCCGGCGACTCTGCGCGACACATCACCAAAGCAATACCAAGTCGTCGTCTCCCTGCCCACAGATGAGTGGTAGCGGGGTCAAGCTGGGCAGGTGGAACGAGCCAAAGGGCCCTCCATTACCATCCCCTTTCGCATACCATACGAATCAACTGGTAGGGGAACGAACAATGACATGAACATAAAAACACGGAGGTCCGCGCGGATCTCGCGGATCGGCGCTGGGGCCCCCTGGCGGCGCTTCCAGCTCCGCTCATGGTGAGCTCCGCGCGCCAGGGAGGGAGGTTCCAGCGCGGATCCAAGAAATCCGCGCGGACCTCCGAGTTTTTATGTTATTTCACTGTTCGCTCCCATTACTGGGACTGGAACGTGCTCAAACCCAGCGAACGGCAGGCGTTCGCACTCGATCTTGCCTCCGACGGGCTGGCGAGGGAGGACAACTAACGCGGGCGGCGAGCGTGCAGGAGCGCAACTTCAGAAACCAATCCTGGCGCGGTGCTGCGGCGAGAGAGCACCATTTTTGTCCTCCCCTCGGGCGGACAAAATTTCCGAGGAGCGCGGCGAGGACGAATAGGGGGAAGCACGCGAATCCTACCCCCACCCCCCACGATTTCTGAGGGGGAGGGTGGGGTCCACTTCGTCCGGGAGCTCCCGAGCGAAGTGAACCCCGCCCTCCCCCTCAGAAATCGTGGGGGGTGGGGGTAGGATCCGCGTGTGGCGCCCTAACGAAGCACGCGCCGCGCCGAGACAGCCCCGTCACGGCTTTGGCGAGGACAGCATTTCCCCCGCTCTCGCGCGGCCCCGCTGCCGCTGCCGCCTCCGCGCGACTCGGCGAGCGAAACGTCTGCGCCGGGCCCCCGCGGAAGCGCCACTCCCGGGGGCAAATCTGCACGGGGCCGTGGCGGGCGCGACAGGTCGCCCGCTCGCGCGCGGCCCCGACCCCCGACCAGGCGAAATCTGCGCGGCGCCGAGGCGAGAGCGACGGCTTCGTCCGCTCGCGTGTCGACGCCTTGGGATGGGCGAAATCTGCGCGCCGCGCCAAAAGCCAGAGCTCAATCTCAGCAAAAGGAACGCGGTGACGAGGCGAGAGCGACCTCTCGCGCGCGACGTGCGCCCCGTCCCAAACTCCCGCCGCGCGGTTTGCAGCGCCGACGACAAAACGTCAAAAAGGCAGAGGGAGTCGCACCAAGTGGGTTTCCGCTCACACCAATCCGATCCCTCTCGCGACGCGCAGCTTACGCTTGGATGCTCTGGCTCGGGACCAGGGCTCGTCACACGGGGGGGGGGGCAAGGGGCGAAGGGTGGCGCGATGTTCTTCCCCCCGGCCTCAAAAGAGATGGGCCTCCCGTGGGATGATTCTGACGAGAATTTCAAGGCGGATCAAGCCCTGACCACGAAAAGCCTCGGTGAGCCTCAAACAAGATCCCACTGCCCAAGAATCACGATTCTCAGCCCTGGATGCTCCTTCTCGCCGCGAGGTCTGGGAATCTCGGGGTGGACGAAAAGGGTGGGAGAAGTAATAAAAGGGGGGTGAACGAATCGGCTGCTTGCGTCTTGTCTTCGCAGAGCCTCCCAGCACCAGGAACGACATGCATCGAGGAATGTGGCTGGCTGCAGGGCTGAAGTCAGCTGCATCCCCGAAAGACCGCACTGCACGGACAGTCACCGCACAGTTTCGGGCCTCCTGGATGCCCCGGTCGCCCGAGCCTCGGAGAACAGCCCGAGTCCCAAAACCATGCGGCCACCCCCAATCGCCACTGACTAACCCGACGGTGTGGTCACTCCTGCCTGCCGGCTGGGCGTTCTTTGCTCAGGCTGGACGGAAGCGAGGAGCGCCGCGTGAAAGGCCTCTGGCCTGGCGCCTCGCGCTGGCCGCCTTGCCCGCGAGGGCCCGGGCACGGAGCGGCAGTGAGGGCCGTGCTAGGCGGCATCGGCGCTCCTCCTGTCCTCCTAACCACCACTAACAACAACAACAACAACAACAGCAACAGCAACAGCAACAGCAACAGCAACAGCAACAGCAACAGCAACAGCAACAGCAACAGCAACATCAACAGCAACAGCAGCAACAAAGCAACAGCAACAACAACAACGACAACGACAACGACAACAACAACAGCAACAACAGCAACAGCAACAACAACAGCAACAACAGCAGCAGCAACAACGACAACGACAACGACAACGACAACGACAACGACAACAACAACAACAACAACAACAACAACAACAACAACAACAATTACTAGCACGTGGGGACACACCGTTCTCACCAGTGCCAGGGTTTTCATAGGAGGCGGGCAATACCCCCACTTTGTGGGGGGGCCGGTTCAAGCTCTACCAAATTTCCAAACGACTCTTCGCCACCACCCACACCCAGCTTCCCGCCCTATGACGTTCGGACACTTCACTTCGTGGCATGCGGACGACCGTGGCTACTATTCAGGGCCCCGCGGCCGACGACGACGGCGTGCGCGCGCGAAGAAAAAACGAATGTGTCCCGCATGGTATTATTTGACAGGGATGATGGCCCTGGCAGGTGCGCAACCGTTGTTGCAGAAGTTCGAAAAAGTTGCTCGCAAAAGCCCGTTTGACAGAAATGTTTAAAAAGTGTTGGGTTTCCTACGAATCCGCAAGAGCGCGCGGGATGAAATTTTGACAATTTTTTTTTGAAAAACCATTGGTTTTTTGATGTTTTTATGTTAAAATCGCTACGAAAACTAAGGTTTTGGAAGGATTTCGTCTTGCGCGCGCGAATGTCCACTTTACCTTATTTTTTGCAAGGGATTCTTGAAGTTTGGTTATGTTAGAACAAGAAATGTCCACTTTAGCTTATTTTTTGCAAGGGAAAACCGATCGTAACAACACAACCGGATCCGGACTCCCCCGTTTTGCCTGAGACTTCCTCACGAAAATGATGAAAATGAGGCTGCGGCCTAGGCGCGGCGGGGGGGTCGTGCACCAGGGGTCCCAACAATAATTATTCTTTAGAAGTAATAATGTTCAACAACAACAACAACAACAACGACGACAACAACAACAACAACAACACCAACAACAACAACAACAACAGCAGCAGCAGCAACAACAACAACAACAATCGCAACAACAGCAACGACAACGACAACGACAACGACAACGACAACAAGAACAATCACTTTAAGACTGTTCGCTCTTATATGCTCGCGTGTACCTCACCACGTATATCCCAAACCCCCGATACCCGCCCTCTTCGTCTTCGATCGTACCCCCTCTGGGGGGTACATCTTCTTGACCTGCCACGTGTATCGGGGGCAGCCCCTAAAAAAGCAAGAGCAGTGAAGAGAGAGAGAGAGAGAGAGAGAGAGCGACAGAAAGAGAGAGGGAGAGAGAGAGAGAGAGAGAAAGCGAGAAGGAAAGGAGTGGGGGAAGGGAGGGAGGCAAGGGACAAGAGAGAGGGAGCAGAACTGCGGACGAGAGAAGCAGCAGTGGGGCCGCTGAAGGGCAGCAGCGGGGCCACGAAGGGCAGCAATGGAGCCACTGAGGGCACGAGCGAGCGGGTGCCACGAAGGGCGTATACATGGGCCACCAAGGGCAGCAACGGGGCCACGTTGGGCAGCGATGGGGGCCACTGAGGGCAGCAGCGGGGCAATGAAGGGCAGCAGTGGGGCCACTGAGGGCATTGACGGGGCCACAGAGGGCAG